GTGCATTATTAAAAGTTCGTTTATTAAATTCTATTCAAAGTTCACACGTCCGCCGCCGACGGCGCCGAATCGCAAATGGCGATTACACGACACGCATTCTGAATTTTAAAACTGAAACGAAAATTTCGAATGGCCAATCGCGCGTGCCGTTAATACATAATAGCCCATTTACATGCGATATCTTGATTCTAAATTATTTATGTATTTTCTTATTTAGAGCGATCACATTTATTTATCAAGCCTTTTTCCCGGGAGGCAGAGACCATAGATTTCCATTTTCTACTCACCTCTCTCGCATTCACTTTCTTTAGATAGAGACAGCTAGTTCTGGATATCCATAGTTGCTCTCACACGTTGAAATCGATTTTCCTTTTGTATGTTGCTTATAAGTGGTTGTCACATTAACAATTATATTTTATTCTTCTTGTACTAATGTATCAGTGTGCCGAGTGGTTTATAAATAAATGAAATGCACCATGCATTCTCGTCGGGTATAAAATGGAAAATATATAGGTAACACACAAATACAGTATTTATAATTTTCTTAACCTACATAGTAATAATAAAAATAATTAAAACAAATTTAAAAAGTTTGCTCTCTGTGGCAGTGTACCTTTAATGCTGGCAGCATTTTCTCGCTGTATTGCGATACTTATTCGTTGAGCGAGGAAAGCACCAGCTCTAGGTCACCGGCACCATCTATCTACCGAATCGTCGACGACCAATCCCTCTCCGAGCGGCTTGATCCTTTGGCGTTGCGTAGAGATGTGGAATCACTCTGCATCTTCTACCGCATTTACCATGGAGAGTGTTCAGAGGAGTTGTTCGGATTACTACCTGCAGCTGAGTTTCATCATCGGACGTCGAGACAGAATACGAAATTCCACCCGTATCACCTCGACGTCCGCCGTTCCACAACTGAGCGTTTTTCAAGGCAGTTTTTGCCGCGCACCACCACTATGTGGAATCAGCTGCCCACAGAAGTATTTCCGAACCAATTCGACTTAGGGTCCTTCAAGAAAAGAGCGTACCAATTCTTAAAAGGCCGGCAACGCATTCGCGAGCCCTCTGGCATTGAGAGTGTCCATGGGCGGCGGCATCACTTAACATCAGGTGAGCCTCCTGCCCGTTTGCCCCCCGTTCTATAAAAAAAAAAATCTACCAGGCAGGTAGATAGACCCGTGATCGTTGGTTATTACTTTTAACTTGTCCCTTCTCAAGTACTAGGATTTGTTCCGCCTACACAACCCGATCTCACCATCCACACTTGCCTTGTATCACATTATATAAAACCCATACGGTTGGTAATGGTTCTGTGATTAGCGTTTACATCTGTTGCCATCAGTATACTTTATGGGAGACAATCTCAATAATTATTTTGTTGAAGACAGTAACTAAGAATTACATGAAAATATATCCATATAATTTGACAACCCTAACATATTTTTAATGATATAAAATGGGCCATTGCAAGCCCCAAATGACATGAGTTAATGGACTCAAAACACAGGGTCACGTGGGTCGGTTTCTTAGTAATTATCTTGGTTTGTTTTGGATTCGTTTTACCTGTATCATTTTATATTGTTTGAATTAAATTACTGGAACTATTTGAGACAAACGGGTCTTGTGGGAATCTGGATGTAATAATAATAATAAAAGCCCGTTTGATTTCCAATAATTACAAATGAATATACATTTCCAAATTAAATAAAAAAATAATAATAACCTGGTTCATAAGAATCTTGTTTGATTTTATTTTTTGTTTACAGAAACCCCTCCACCACCTTACAGTCGACTGGCCATGGAGGAAGTCAAAAGTAAAGGTGAGAGGTTTTATAAACATTTACCACATTAGGTATTATCTCGTCTTGGGTATTAGAACCACAACTTATAGAAATTTTGGTGATTAAATAAATACATAGTTTATTTACAAAGAAAGTACATACAGAGTGTACATAAAAACACACTCGGCTATATTAAAAAAGGCATCCAAATGTCATATTAAATATCATAATAATAAGAACAGTGTTGTAGTGTGCTTGGCTTCAGCGTGCGACACTCATCCCTGGGGTCGGTTCGATACCCGGACGTGCACCAATGGCTGTCTTTGTGCGCATTTAACATTCGCTCGTACGGTGAAGGAAAACATCGCCAGGAAACTAGCCTTAGACCATAAATGTCGACGAGAGAAATGACAACGGAACAGATAGAGTAATTTGAGGCTCATACCTAACAAAAAACGGTTGTAGCGCCACTGATTTATTTATTAATCATATAAACTTATGGTCTAAATACTCTCCTACATTATAAAGGGCATATAAACCACACACGGGTATATTATACCCACCAAATTATATGCATAAATTATTGCAATTGATTATAGATTATTAATGATTTACGCTTCTTGACATATATACTATATAAAAATTAAACAACTATTTCGTAAGGAATTTTTCTAATAAAATTTAGTTTTGTGATAGCGTAGAAATCTTATTTCTCCGACACATTTGTTAACTTTTCCAAATGAAGAAGCTTTTTTATGTATAAAGCATTATCCTATATTAGACAATACAATGCTCAAAGGGGATTAGAACTTGGAGAAACTGATCGTGGTTGGTAACACATAGAAGGCAAAAGATCACGTGGCCGTTCACCAACCAGATGGGCCGAGCAAGAGAAAGACTGTTACCGACTGAAGAGAGACGTTTTATATCAAAAATTATTGGTAATAAACAAACCAGTAGTGTCTCAAACTAAGAAATATTTCCACTCGAATGCAGCCACAATAAATTGCCAGTTCAAAAGCGAAATGATTCAGTGTTCGTCAGTGTAGATCATAGATCTCAAAAGCGCAGTAGATCGAGGAATCCGGCCGCGGACCGGCGCCCGCGCCGCTTCCTGGAAATTCGGGATGACTAGGGTTGCGGTATTTTTGATATCTAGTTTTATTTTAAAAATTTTAGTATATCGAAAACGAGTAACGCGAAAAATGGAGCGATATCAGTAATTTCCATTCGAAATTGTAAGTTAGTGTTAGTGCACTTGAGTCTTAAGTGCTAAACAGTGAGTGAAAAAATAATACACAAGAACAAAAGTCTTAAAGTCAAAATCATTTATTCATATAGGTACCAAAATGTACACTTATGAACGTCATAAAAAATTTCAACAGTTCTCAAATCAAGGGCGTATAACGGAAGAGAAGAACTGGCAACAAACTCTCCGCCACTCTTTTTGATCGCCAAGTTTTATTTTTACACAACGTTTGTTAGGAGCTGCAACCATTACACCATGTTCCAAATGACATCTTGAGTAATATATAATAATAAAATAAATTAAAAACAAAGATTGTCCTCTATCACCAGGAAGCATGCTCATAGCATGCACTTACATTCTCGTAGGAACAACACGCAAATACATAGTCGAAATAACTAACATAACCGCATACACGAATTCAAGTGTCTCCACCTTAATAGAGACTGTAAGTAGTGTTATTGGAAACTTTCTTATTTCTTTTCTTAACTAGCCTTTTTAGTAGTTTTAAGTTACTTATTAGTCTCAAGTTAGGCTAGATCGTTATGTTCACAGACAATTTATAAAAAAAATCAGTAATGCGATAAATTAAATGTAAACACGAAAATTATGCTTTAAACTTATCATCAAACCGATAAACATTATTTTGTTTGCAAATAGCGTTATCTGTTAATTAAATAGTACATCGCTTCAGCTACTCGATATGCATGTGTTGTTTTAGATCATTATCGACAAGTGACAACACTATTTACCTCATACACTTGCGATTCTCGGTATGCAAAGCGGAGTTGTTTATAATGTAAATTGCGGCATAGCTTCTTTTAAACATTTTCTCCTGTATAAAATAAGTTAATATTGATTTGACTAATTCACCATTAATAAATTACTCGATACGAATAGTCGACTCTTGCGCAACCCTACGAAGCTGGTCTCAGCTTGTGCGCATTCCAACGTCGGTCGCCATCTTTAAACTACATTATTAATGCTTACGGCAAACATCACTGGCCTTTTTTCTGGCATCCCTGCAGGGAGGATGTATTTGTTTTTAATAAGGACCCTTTGTGATCTTTAGTCTTCTCAACGTAATTATTTAATCATGTATAGGATTGACTTAATAACCAGTGGCGCTACAATATGGCCTCATATTTCTGCATTGACATGTTACTGACAAGTACATTGGACAAGTATATAAATACTTTATAGACTATTTATTGGTGCACAGAATAGCACGATTTACTAGGCTGATTCTACGTCTCATTGACTTTGACAATTGACGATTGTAAACCATGATTATACGATTTAACGTGACAAATAATTCGTCTATAAAATATATATTGCACAGTACTAAGTATTAGAACGATAAAATTAAGCGTTTTTTTTAATTAAAAATGTTGATAGTTGAATCTTTTAGTTATTTGTGTGTCCGGATATGCATAGTTATTCCTTTTTCCGGTCTGATGGATTTTGAAATGCCTATATTTTGTCTATTAAATTTTCTGCAAATTTATGCTTTCTATTGGAGAACTTTTCATTACATTTATTAACATCTAAAAACTCTACACGTCACAGGAAATCCCGGATTTCCACAATCAATGTTAGGATTCCCGTTGTGCGAACTCTACCACCCCGGGATTCCCTTCCAGCATTCATCATAGGGATTTCCGGGTCTCTAGACAAATTCCTCCCCTTCGTTTAGTTAATTCGACGCTTGTCTGGGCATTTATCGTTTCACCCCTTTATTTCACAATTAATATTCACAAATACTTGTTAATGAGATGTATAATGTTTCTCGTTAACCGTTGAATTCACGTTTACAGCTGGGGGTTTGGAAACATTGGAAGTTAATCTATAATTTATACCACAATTGAAAGACAATATTTACAAGCTAAAAGCATACGAAAAATTAATTGATCCGGCGCTATCTTAATATTATTCGGTCGATAGGAGACCCTTTCAGCGGGGCTCAATGGATGGCCACCATCTTTCCTGATACGGGTGACATTGACATTCCGATCGGGCCCATTACGGTGTTTCTCACGTGCTTCCCCGAATCCATTCATTGCATTTACACGGAGATAACGGAGTTTGAACCCTAACTGTTGAGGTTAAGAGGATCTTTTAAAATTCTCACTTAAGTGATTCAGTCCCTTCTCGCGGGTATCGGTAAGTGTCGCGATAACGACGGTATCCATTAACGTTATCGTTACGTTATCGTGGCGCCGGCGCCGCTCGGCTGACACAAATATAACTGGTCAGTGTTTGTCTTTGCCCGCTCTTGTTAGGTGGGTGTTCACTACCCTTTTATGCGTCAGTATGAGTGCTCTCCACTTAACTATCTAAGTGACTTGCCGTCATCATTACGTTTACTTTCGCGTTCATTATCAGTTGTATCGGTGACCATATTTACAATTGTCACTTTGCCTCAGTGAAAGGTAACAAAAATCTATTATTGGACAATAATTACCGTGCGACTCTCATCCCTGAGGTCTTAGGTTCAATCCCCGTTGCACCACTCTCTGTCCATGTGCGCATTTAACATTCGAAGGAAGGAAATCATCGTGACAATCGGCTTGTCTCAGAACCGAAAAAGTTGACGGCGTGTGTCAAACACAAAAGGATCAACGTCTTGCCTATAAGATTGACAAATGACCATGAAACGGGTTCAGAAATCTTAGGTCCAGACCTAAAAATGTTGTACCGCTGATTTATTTATTATATTTAAATAAATGGTTGTCTTTTTTCACCGACGCTAAAAGTATTGACGGTGTTTCTTCTGCTAAAAGCTAAATGCTTTTAGATCTGTTAATATTTATTAATTTCAATGTTCTTGCGGTCTTACTGCGGTCTTATATATCTATAGCAAGCCATATAAGTCTGGACGATATCAAGAAATTGTGAACTTAACTGAACATGCCTATTTATAACGCGTGAAGATGGCTCAGTTATTTCAGTCGCAATAATGTTTATTTGGGTTGGTTACTCGTGGAGTGTAAACAAGGACCGCCTGGCTAAATGTAGTAGAACTGACATTCAATTTAGGATACCATTGTGATGGTAGCAATCTTTAGGGTGTTAAAACACATATAATTACTTATCGTCGTTGTAGAATGATAACCTCGTATGTCCAGAGAACCAAACATTACAGGAAACGCAAAAAAAAATTCATTTTGTCAATGTTAGTTAAAATATTATTGTGTTTTTGTCCATAGAATGATGGTAAAAAGGACTTATTTATTTATAACATAAAAGTCCTTACTTCATGATTATACCAGTTAAATGACATAAGAGTCTAGGAATAAAAAAATAAATGGGTTTTTGACATACGAGGTTATCATTCTACAGTGACGTTATGACTTACTTGACTTAATGTTCTATAACCCCTAGATGGGGCAGAGGGCGTCCACAGTGAGTCTCCATCGCGATCGGTCTTGAGCCTCGTATTTCACCTCGCTCCAAGTCTTTCCGGCTCTCTTTGCGACTGTACGGCGCCAGGTTTGCTTGGGACGGCCTCGCTTCCGCTTTGGAATATGATTGGGATCTCTTCGAAGTGTATGGCCTATCCAATTCCACTTGCGTAGCTTGATCTGTTAGCTGTTCGGGGTTTCTCGGCAGCGCTCCCAAAGTTGCTCGTTTAGAGATCTTTTCAGGCCAATAGATGCCCAGAATACGGCGAAGTCAGCGGTTGACGAGGACTTGGAGTCGGTGCGAGATGCAGATACTTAATTATTACTACTTAAATATTACTTATGCAGATAGGAAAATGTTCAGTAGTTTCTGTACATATAGATACGCACTCAGTGTGCTGGTACTGCGACCCAAAATCCTCCCTGTCCTTCCCGCTTTTGGCTTTCAGTCGCAGCAGGTCCTCATTCACCGTCGATCCAGTGGTACCTGGGCTGGTGGCTGGCTTACTTCACTGCCCGATCTTTGTCACGACGACGTTTGTTTACGACGACATCGTTTAGAACAACATACCGGTTATATTGACCAAAATCAAAGGTCCCGGCTGAATTCTATGTATTAAGTACTTAATCACAACGTCATCGGCTGTTACGACTATCGGTTTTTACGACCAAATATAAGAAGTCCCTTCGATTTCGTTAAAACAGATTTTTATTGTATAACCTATTATATTTACGAAACAAATTGTGTTGCACCGGAATCTAGACTCAGTATTAGGATACTCAAAACTGACGCTTTCCCTTCTAAACCTGACTGCACCAATATTAAATCATATAACTAAACAAGTAGTGTTTTTGGTTAGTTTATAACTGTACAGAAGAATGTTAACACCGAAAAATGTATCTTCTCTGGACGAACGGGAATTTTCTAAATATTAGAGATTTAATCGCGCATTGAATAAAGCCTCCCGTGGCGCGTAAAGAGGCCGAAGTCATTGAGCTTTCAAATATTTTGGTTTGAACTTACAGCTGCGTTTAAACGCACACATTTATATACATACAATTAATACTTGTAATTTTTTTAAGTTTTCTAAGAAAGAAACCTTATAGATTTGTAATTTACGCTTTCCATTTTTAGAATTTTTCTTTGTTTCCAATTGTTTGTGTGATGAGCTTATAAGCTAAACAATGTTACACAGAAAAAAAGACGCAATGAAGAAGTGGCTAGTTGATAACTTCTTATTTCCTTGCATCTCTGTACATTACATGGATAAAAGTTCTTAATTTTACATTGTTACAATACAAGTTTTTTAATTTGACAAATGTTTGACGTATTTTATTTATTATCCAGTAATTTTCTTTTAAGTCCCGATAATAGGATAGATATATCTGTGTCATTGCTTTTTAGCATGTGTTCCTGCTGTATTGATCCCAGTAAGTGTAGTAGTGGGAAATCGAACCTTGATTCTCCGTACGCCGCGAAACCAGAGGCTTTCGTTATTGTATTTACTAATACACATTAAAAACAACATTACATCGTATAGGTTATTATTATGCCAAGATTCTAACAGAATAACAAAATGTTAGTTAATAAACACAAAATAAATTGAATTGAGTATTTTCTGCTTGACAAATGATCATGAAACAGGAATCTGAGGTCCATACATAAGAAGGTTATAGCGCCACTGATTTTTTTAATACTAATAAGAGGGTTGAAGTGCGAATCGTTCGTGGTCAATATGTAGTTACCATTTTTTAAATTAAATCCAACTAATTTAGATACAAAGTAAAGTGTTTCGCACATTGAAACAATGATTTGAAATACGCACGTCATTTCCTATTTTCCGAATGACGGGAAACGGATTTCATGCAAGTGAAAATTGAAATTTCTCTCATCGTGGAAATAGTTTTCAAACAATTTACACGTGTCTCGATTGTTTTGTGTTTAACAGCTTTTGTTTTATTACCTCGTTTATTTTGAAATAACTTTTGCTTGTTCATAACATAGTAACACGTTTGCATCTTTATAGACGAAGTTGGATGTTTCTTTCGCTGTGAATTTCCGCTAATTCAACAATGTCTTAAGGCCTGTACGTACACATGTGGGTATATATATATATATATGTGTGTATTTTTTATAAATTGTCTATGCACAAAGACATTAACATTACGATCTAGCCTAACTTAAGTGTAATAAGTCATTCAAAATTCTAAGGGTCAGTTTCACAATGTATGGATAAAGCACCAAATAGCAACACATAAATTATTTGTAACATAAATTGTGCTATTTGACATTCATCGGACTCATAGCTTATGATGGACTTTATGAGACGAATAGCGCTATCTGACAGTCGTGAAACGCAACAATTGTGTTTATCCTACCAATAAGTAATAAATAGCTAATTTGGAACTTATGTAGAACTTATACGTACATTGTGAAACAGACCCCTAATCTAAATCATTTATTCATATAGGTAACACAATGTACACTTATGAACGTCAAAAAAGAAATATATATAAAATGCTTTTAATTTTACATTTACTTCCAGTTCTCAAATCAAGGGCGTAGAACGGAAGAGAAGAACTGGCAATAAACTCTTCACACTTTTTGTTCGACAAATTTTTTGTTTTACACAACGTTTGTTATGAGCTGCAACCATTACACCATGTTCCACATGACATCTTACGTAATTAATAATAATAAAATAAATAAGAACGAAGATTTGTCCTCTATCAGCAGGAGGCATGGTGAAATAGGAGAACGCTTTAAATTCTCGTGGGAACAACACGCAAACATAGTCGAAATAACTAACATTAACTAATTTAAGTCTTAAAAAAAATTAATCTATTACCTCATTCGAGATTAATACATGGTCAAATGTCTTAATATTTTACGATACTATATACACGAGTGTAGCGATATGATCTCCAATATGCTAATGTATGTTCACTTCGTATATAAATATGTATATTATATGTTGGTTGATGGTTATTGAGTAATGCTAAACTAAATTCAAATGTACATATTTCAAATAATTCTATAATACTATTATAGAATTATTTGAAATATTTTTGGCAAGGTACTTAAACTTCCTTGTGAACAATGTGCAAACATTGAACTCATCATCTTCAAATCGAGAAATGAACCCAGGTCCATTAGTTAAAAGCAATGAATCCAATCCAACTAAACTGCACAAGCAAGATTTATTTATTTCCTAAACCTAACATAAATTATATACAACAAAAATTATTATTTACAAATCTACAAACATTTACGAAAGGAAAAAAATCAATTAAAATTAGTAAATACATTATACCTAATTCGGCTGTGTTGTGTGTATGTGCGGTAATTTATATTAATAATATGAATATTTAATAGCATACAATTGAATTAAAAATAATTTACACAATTATGATTGAATTAAAAATTAACTATCGAAATTTGATCCGAGTCTAGCCGGGTTAAATCATGAGCATTTCGGTAAGCCTGCGTCTGCGCAGGTGTCCAGAGTCTGATGTCATCGAGAACTCGATTAACTTGTTCTACGGAGCTTTATCACAATTTTTTTCTTGTCATTTCGACCGGTCATTTGAATATTTGTTTGCGTGGCGGCATCTTTACAATATGAGCTGATGTTAGATCACGAATATCTCGAGAGATGTCGCGATTCAACATCTGATTGAAACATTCGTTCATCCATTATTTTTCTCTTTAGGTCTGGGCCTCAGATTTTTGTATCTGTTTCCTGATTTGTCAATCTAATAGGTGATCAGCCTCCGGTGCTTGAAAAATGCCGTCGGCAAATGGGTCTAAGGCAAGCCGGTTTCCTCACGTTTTCTTTCATCGTTCGAACGAATGTTTAATGCGCACAGAAAGTCCACAGTAGTATTGGTACACAGCCAGGGTCTCGGTTGAGAGTAGCACGCTGAAGCCACTATGTCAACACTGCTTATTTATTAAACAAGCTACGAAACAAATAGAATTCAAATCGTGCTAGTTCTTCCTGAACGGAAACAGGAGCTTTATAATCGATGAAATATAATTGCGGATAACTATTGATCTAAGACAATAGACCACTAACTATTTTGGCTTCCGATATTATTTATTTGTAACTTATAATAATAAAGCCCGTTTAATTTCCAATCATGACAAACAAAAAATAGATAATATACAGCTTAGATTATTTACATTATTTTATTTATCTTGCTATCCCATATATCCTATATCTTAGCTACCTTCAGTACGTCGATCGGAACCCCTTCACGGGTAAAGGCCTCCTCCAACTTTTTCCAACTGACTCTGTCTATGGCTCTCTTTCTCCATTCGTTTCTTGCTACCGCTTCTATTTCTTCTATCCACCATTTTTTGGGGCATCCTCTTCTGCTTCTTCTTCTGGTCCTTTCCATACAGTTGTCTTTAAAGTCCACACACCACAGTTATTTGTAACTAAATTAAGTAAAAAGCTTAAAAAAGTTTACGTTGGATACTGCCGTTAGGTTCATATGATTCGGGAATGTTTTATAAATATTAAATTGCTTATTTATTTTCAGAAAAGGGAGAAAGTACACAAGACGCGAGGAGAACAGACCATGAGCGGCTGGCAACTGGATCCTTAGCTACTGATGGAGATGGTAAGGAATTTTTATTATTAAGTTATTAAAAACTAAAGACAATTATTAAATATATTTGGTAATGCTGAAACGGCAGTGTTCGCCTAATGGCTTCAGCGTGCGACTGTCATCACGGTCGTACGTTCGATCCCCAAGCACTAATGGAATTTCTTTCTATGTGCGCAATATTCGCTGGAAGGCGAAGGAAAACATCGTGAGGAAACCGGCTGGTCTTACACCCAAAAAGTCGACGGCGTGTGTCAGGCACAGGAGGCTGATCACCTACTTGCCTATTAGATTGACAAATGATGATGAAACAGATAGATATCTGAGGCCCAGACTTAAAACAGGTTGTAGCGCCACTAATTTATTTGTTTTTATAATGCTGAAAAGGAGTTCCATTTCTGTCTATTGTGTGTTTGTGTATTTATCTAATACATAGGTATATAAAATTATCGTGTCACAATATTTTTTCCCATACTACTCATCGAATCGGCTACTATCTATCTTTCAAACCCCTAAGTGATAAGGGGGGGTTTTTTGAATATTTTTTTTTTGTTAATTTTTGGGTTAATTTTTTGGGTTTATTTTTTATTATGTGGCCTTAAAAATACATACAACCTTTAATTTTCACCCCTCTACGATTAACCCCTATTTTTTATTATAGTAGATAGTTATTTTTATTGAACTAACAATATTTCCTAAAAATAATATACATGGCATAACAACGTTTGCCGGGTCAGCTAGTCATAATATAAAATTAATACTTCTGACATAAGGTCGTATTAAACAAATATAAAGAATTCCAATTTCAGCTGATACAAAAGTCAAATCGAATGTTTAAAATTGAACGCTCAACGATAATTGTAACGCGACACCTGTTACTAACCTAACCTTACAATTTCGTATTTATGCATTCAAGATATTTTGATCCGTACAGTCTTCAGATATTAAATTACAATGATGCCGTATCGCAAAGGTTGTTCAATTGCTCGCTATTGCTCGGACATCGACCCATATATGTTTTTCATTTGCAATTTTTTATATATTAACAGTGTTTTTTTATAAATTTGACGATTAAATGGTTCTAGTTTTTGGGATTGATTTGCTCCAGTTCAAACAATTTGTCTAACTCAAAACTTGGCGATTAAAAAGAGTGGCGGAAAGTTTCTTGTGAGTTCTTCTTGCCCGCTCTACTCTTAGCTTGCGAACGAAAGTAAATGTACATTTAGATTCAATTTAACATCTTTTCTGTTGACGTTCATGTACACGTGTACTTGGTTATGAATGAATAAAGTTATTTTGAGTTTGGGTAGTTGGAATAATTTGGTGGTCTGTGGTTTTGGCGGAGATGTCAAATGTCAATCTTAAAAGACTTAGTTTGACGTTTGATGTGTGACGATGTCCGATGACATGACCCATAGAAAAATGATTAAATAGCCAAATATATATTTTTATGTAATACATACAATTATAACCCATATTTTAGGTAATCGTAGCTTGTACAATCGCGACATTTTTGTAGAAGTTAATGTTCTTTAATATTGTGAAACATATTTTTGTTCTATCATCATAAGTTTTCGCAGCGCATGCGATGAAAGATATTTTATAGGCATTTTTTTACACCTTGGATACCATTATTGTAGTTTTAGTAGGGATCCTTATTTTTTTCTTGCAATTAAAATAGCCTATATTAATCAGTGATAATGTAGCATTCATTTGGTGAAAGAAGTTTTAAAATCGGTCCTGTACTTTTCGAGCCAATTCGTTACAAACATACTTACATACAAATCTTTTCTCTTTATAATATTAGTAAAGATAATGGAACGTGTTATAAATGTACATCATACATCCTTCCATTGTTATGGTGATATTTTAAGACGGTTCCAAGAAATCACATCAATTAGTCACTTCGTTTGGAATTTTTGCCGTACGTGGCTTATATTAGAAAATTGGCAATTATTGTCCATGACAAGTGGTGACAGTGTGGTAGTCCCACGGAGCTGGTGGCGGTAACCTTGACTATCGATCGCGCCAGGTCGGCGCCACCACGATCCACATACCATTGTTTTGTATGAGATTTGAGTTTTATACCTGAAGCGATTCTTTCGAATAAACACTGACAAATTCCTCTCCCATATGGAACACAGCTGTAGTTCAAATTAAATTACTTTAATTATCGTTAATGGTACATTAATATTTTTAATTATTTAAGCAAGTAATACTCGGTTAGTTAACGTTATTTAAGAAAGTATAGAATTTGTAAGAGTGTACCGAATTTTTCCATAAGCCATAACAATATGATTTAAAAACCATATATTCTTGGTCTCCTATAAAAACATAAGCGTCTAAGATTTACGATAGTAATTCACATTTAAATAACACAGGAATATATATCTACATCACCGAATTCACATACAAAAGCGTAAAATTTAACGAAAATATTTAACCAATGTTAAACTGCCAATTCCTCGCGGCTGCGATGTGGCATGTTTAATTATTACAATGGCGTCACCCGTGTCATGACAGTTCGTCACATTGGAGCCAAGTTTCTGAAAAATATGATGTAAGACGGAGCAAATATTATGTCAATCTTTCAGGAGTTAAGCGGTAGTTTCCGTTTATGTGATTAATGTATAACCAAATTCATGTCATTTTTGGCGCATACAACTGTATTTTTATTGTTTATAATCATTTTTCTTACATTATAATTCTCTCTTAAATTGGCGCTTATCTAATTAAATTGGATTTGATTTTTATTAAGAAAATCGTATGTTTTTATCGGTATTTAGATGTTCTCGCAACATGCATTATAAAATAATCTTAGAAAAATCGTGGCGTTTTGTTATTACTACCGTCAATGTTACTAAACTTTTAGATCAGTTGTAAAAACTTTATTTCTCATAACAAGAAAAATATTTTTATTTACATGAGAAACTTAATATAATATAAATATACGAACGAGATACGCGTCGCCATCAGCTATTTCAATTTTAATGCCTTTTTGAATTGATTAAACACGCTAATATTACGAATTTTAGAGGGTAATTGATTAAATAAAAATAATTATTTAATTATCAAAGCAATAAAGTTACTATTATCACCAAGGCGCATTCCTGAAATTAAATTTTACCTTCCAGAACGTCAGAGCTGGGAGACAGAATGGTGTCGGTTAGCATATTGGGAGTTGCAGCAGCGTGTTGGCCGCCAGTTTAGTGTGCGCCTGCGCGCCGTTGACGTTTTCGGCGGCGGCGGCGGCACATGCGGCTCCGGGAGGCATGGCTTGTGTCTGGACGCGCTCGATACACGGGAACCGCAAGTTGAACAGGTAAATATATGTTTTAGTAAATTCTCAAAAATATTTTGAGAATACATTAAAAGTGATATAATTGCTTAGCAAAAGATATGCAGAAGTAATGCGAAGAAATAGAAAAGCATATCAATTGAGCTATTGAGCAGTGTTGGCCGCAGTAGTGGCTTCAGCGTGCGACTCTCATACCTGAGTCGTAGGTTCGATCTCCGGCTGTGTACCAATGGACTTTCTTTCTATGTGCTCATTTAACATTTGCTCGAACGGAGAAGGAAAACATCGTGAGGAAACCGACATGTCTTAGAGAAGTGTGTGAGGCACTGGAGGCTGATCACCTACTTGCCTATAAGATTTAAAAATGATCATGAAAAAGATTCAGAAATCTAAGGTCTAGACCAAAGAGCCGCCACTTATTTATTTTTTAATCTTTACAATTAAGCACAATTTACCAAAACATATTTTTTAAAGGTTATAAAACACCAATTTGCATTTCCCATGACCAATAGATCAAAGCAACAATCTCAAGCATTTAGCGCGTGATAAGACATGAATATAAAAATACTTTCACATGATCTGATGATTCATTCGTATTAATAATTATTTGCTATTAAAGAAGTCGCTTTGACAATTGACTATGTTATGAGGCTATTGCTTTGGTTAATTATTATACAATACTTAGAGACGACCTTGTCGTCCCTTACTTCTGTGCTGGAGTTATTTCTCTTAGTAAGAGTTAATAATTAATATTAATAAAGCCTTCATACATACAAAAGAAGACACTTAAAATTTTATACAGAAACTAGCTGCCCCGGCGAACTTCGTTTCGCCTTAATATGTTTTTTTACTTAGCCCACTTTTGAGTATATGGAACATTTATTCGGTTTTCTGGAATGAAAACTTTTTAGGGTTTTCTGTGAATTTTTCTCGATATAAACCTCATAAGTCGTAAGATTTTAATTAACAAATAAAAAATAGGGGTTGATCGTAGAGGGGTGAAAATTAAGGGTTGTATGTACTTTTATATTCTGTATCATAAAAAAATAAAAATAAATAATTTTATCAAAAAAATTAAAATTAAAATTTAGGGGTATGAAAAATAGATAGTAGCCGATTCTCAGACCTACTGAATATGCATATAAAATTTGATAAAAATCGGTCAAGCCGTTTCGGAGGATTATGGTACGTAACTAACATTGTGACACCAGAATTTTATATAAAAAAATTTAGATAATGTTTTCCAAGAACTTCTTGTAGAGTATATGCCTCCTCCAACTGACTCTATCTCTCTCTATCGTGAGCATTTTTCTCCCAATCTTCTCCACCAAATTACTTATTTATTAACAGATATACATTATCCATACAGTACTAAACCAATGTCGAGAAAAAATCATCAAAATGCGTGTGGCAGAAGTGCTTACGTGAGAGAGATCACGGCCCGCTTTGTGCATTGAACGATGACCCTTGATTATTAATAACGATTTATTTTTGTCGACAATTATTTAGATCGTCATTGTTCACGTAAATGGGCGTGTACACGCCTCCGAAAGGAAATACTTATGAGTGACAAATCGTTAGAATATCGATTATGATCGCGTGATTTTGTATACATAGGTATTATGTTATAGATGAAAGATTTGTATTTTGTATGTGTGTAACGAAACTTAACTTATGGACTGATTTAAAACGTTTATTTCCAAGTTATTCAGCAGTGGGAATGATAATTTAAGATTCCAATTGAGATTATAATCTTATTCAAGGAAATTTTATCACGAAGTTTTTGTACTACTTTTCTTACATGTTTCTACAGTAGGAAACAGAAGTATTATTAGTTAAAAATACAATAAAAATTGAAATGTTTATTCAGTGTTTTAACAAAAGCTTTATCTTGTTGTTATAATTGCTTCGTAAACTTAATTTGACTGAACGAGACAAATGAGAACTTAATAATAAATCGTCGGTGATTTACGCGAGTACATTTAAATATCACTGATATAAACTCATTTTCTACAACGTATTTAGAGTTTGACGACAATTTGAAGGGTCTAAATAAATAGTTTGTTACATGACAAAATTGTAAACATTCAGTACCTCCCACATATAGGCCAGTTCAGATCAATTGCGTAGTAAATCGAATCGTTGTCTGAAATTAATGTCAATCGATCTCTTGTGACAAGAGGAACTTTAGGAAGGTTTTATTATTATGTCTAAGGAATACACAGCTGAATGTCTTGACTATTCCTCCAAGTTTAGGGTACTGGTCTCCGACTCCCGACTCTCACTAGGCCGGCTCAGATAATCTTCCTTCTCCGCCCGATGCGCTGAAGGTGCCTCAACGCAGTCGATGAGCCTGGAAACTCTTCTATTTCGGCTTTTTTTCGGACTCTCCATAACTTCCCTGCCCCTGATTTTTCGCAGTATTTTGCCAGTAACTACTGCTCCTCTTTCACGGTTAGCGTCACAGCCGTAAAATTAACTGGTTCCATAATAAAATACCATGTGATGCAGAAGGTCTTAGTTTCCAAGCTTCTTTGCAGAACATTCGTATATGCAATAACAATTAATTGAATAGTTATTAGAAGATTGAGTTTGTAATAATTGATTTAGCGCGGCGAGCGAATGCCGATAACCTCTGATAAAAGTGCAAATACACATGCGTTTACTATTAATTTGTTTATTTTCTAGAATGCATTAAATAATGTTGATCGCTTTATAGGGCAAAACATTAAACTTCTTAACACAGTTTTAGGTACCTACTATGAAATTTAAATATTGCAATTATCTTTATTTTACCCAGGAACGGTATGTTTCACTATGTGTTTAGTAATTGTATGTTTAATCTATGTTCTATTTTCCAGGTGCGGAAAACTCGAGCGAAAATCGGTCTAGGCGTAACCCTCTCACTGGAGTCTGACGGGGTCTGGCTTTACAACCGAAGCCAGGAGCCAGTGTTTGTCAGTTCACCGGCTTTGGATGCCGCCGCAGCCAAGGCTCTTTTAGTCTGGCGAGTGGCTCCCGGCCACTGCCTTTGTATTTTCGACCCTGCAACTCCGCCGCCAGCAGTCTCCCTTCCCCACGTGGGTCCAGTGGACCCTAGATCTGTGAGGATCTCCTTCGCAAAGGGCTGGGGTCCGAAATACTCCCGTCGGGATGTGACAGCTTGTCCCTGTTGGCTCGAAGTACTTTTAGCTCCCCCGAGCTGACGCAAAAGACTATTCGCAGAGTGAAGTGAAGTGACTTAGTGCGTGAAATGGAAACCAGACACTCGGTACTGTTTCGTTTTGCATTTCCACCCTGTGGGGTACGGTTGTTTTTTTCTGGCAATATTTATTTTTATTGTGAGGCAACACTGGTGAATATAACATGAAATCCTTTTTGTATTTTTATGAATTGATAGCTCTATCAAATTGTAATCAACAATTTGATCTGAGCTATATTTTTGGCAAATTTTTGTATAATTTTATTTAATCAATTGATTTTTAATTTCATGGATATATTTCAGTGTTGCAATCACAAAATTTCCGCCAGATTTTGTTGTAAAAATTGTACAATTATAGTTGTACTTGTATAAACTCTGTTTTAAACGCGAGACTGTATATAGAAACTTTATGTACATTATTTTATATATATTTGTAATTATTTATAACAATATGCCTTATATTAGTGTAATTATTTAGTTTAGTACAGATTTACTCTGAGAGTACATTGCTTTATATTCTACAACGAGTTAATGAACATAATAATTTTTTATTGATAACTTTTTAAATATTTAGCAATTTATTCTCCTGGTAACACTGTTCGTTTAAGCTTTGTACAAAAAATTATATTTTAATGAAGTAATGTTGTATTGAGAAGTAGATAAGGGCTGTGTGAAACGCATTTTAAATGAAATATCTCATTTTGTGGGAACATCCCTAGATAACTAGTTTTTTTAAAGATCTGTCATAGTACATGCGGAAATAGAGCAATTGATTGGATATATGTAATTATTGTAACCGTTAACATTGTGCCTTGCGTTATATTCAAATTATATGTAAAAGGAGACGCTCCAATGTGACCTATGCACCGCTATTTTATTTTAAAGGATTTTTAATCAATTAAAACCAATGCAACTATTGTTTTGATTATAACATTATTGCAGTTTCTGTGTTGTGTCAGTTGATTAAAATTTAGTCATGTTCAATTAAGTAATCTAAAAAAACTTTTATAAGCGGTGAAGTGAGGGTTCAATATGGAGTTTGTTGATCTTTGAAACATTTAGGGTATTAGAGTCAATTCCACTGGCCTATTATAGTAAGTAAACATTAATTATATAATATACAAATTATTTAAACTCGAATTTAAAGAGTGCTTAGACAGGGCAAGCGATTTGACAATAAGATATTCTAGTCTCTAACATGCTTGCTTTGTCTAATTTGGTACTTATGGCCAGTCTATGGGTTATTTAAAAATTTAGCTATGGTAATGATATACACTGTTATCTTTTGTATTCGTAATTTGAAAATTGGCGCTTAACTTATATTTGACAGATTTGTTGAAAGCAGAAATTTGTAATCTGTGCTTTAAACATCAAATAGCATAGACAATTTTCTAGGTACTTAATATTATGTTTTTATTTATACCCGTGTATACTTAATATTGTTTATACTCATTCACAGATTAATATTACTGTTTAGTCATTACCTTAGACTGATGAAGCGCCTTAATCGAACGTATTTTCGAACAATGTATAAAAATATTTGCACAGATAACTTGGACCATAGATTAAATTATAGTGACTGGCTATAATTATGTGCATAATGTGAAAATTTATATATAAATTTGTTATGAAATGCAATGTACTTATGTAAAGTATGTATACATTGTTGAAAATATGTAAAGCTATGTATATTGTGTAGATAGCCACAGTTTTCCATCGCCGATTGTTACGCGTCTGACTGAGATGGATGAGATTAGAATATGCTAAATTATGAATAAAGAAGAGAATATTTTTATTACAGTACTTTTATTTCAAACCTAAATCTAGTATCAAACTAGTGTCTACATGAAGTGCACAGTCATCTGTTATTTAGAATGTTCTAACAGGCGCCATCTATACACCACGACAATACAACATTTATATTTACAAATACATATAAGTAACCTAACATGAAAAATATAAAAAGATACACGTAACAACTATAAAATAGGTTGTTATTACAGTTTTATAGTCTTTGGTTTGTTTTACTCCAGTTTTTTCATTGTCGTATTTGGTATAAAGAAACAAGCAACTCCGCACGCTGAAAGAGAAAAAACGTAGATATTATTTTTATAGTTTTATTTGAATACTCTTTGTAATTTTGCATAATCCTTCTTGAGTTTCTTAATACTACCACCTAGCTGAATTTATTGATAGTATTTTAAAAGTATTGCCTATAGTAGTTCTTTTATGTATCATTAGATGGTGCTATACTAAATGCTTACATAATAAAACTGTAGCAATGGTGAAGAACGGTGGCAAACAGCCGTAATCAATGAGTGCTGGGAAGGCGATTGTCCCAGTTATTGTACCAAGTCTACCGCACATCAGGAAAGTAGCCATTGCCATCACCCTGTAGAATAAATAAAAGTTTTTAACTTGTATAAATACCTATAGAACGTGCTCTTACAGATTTGCTAAACAATTTTGAACAGGCGCTTGAAAATTCAAAGAATTGCTTAATTTACAGATTTATTCTGTTTTCTACTTACAACTTGAAAGCATTAATTAATTGATTTATACTACTCTACCTTAAAGACGTTGGGAAGAGATCAACAGTAATGCTGGATAGAGAGGCACCAGTCAGCGAAGAGAATGCCAACGCAGCTGTAACGATACCAGTGACCATTGCAGCGCTGGTTCCAAGGAAGGGAAGTCCAGCTATCACCAAGGCACTCAAGATGGCGCACACACCCGCTACTAACTTCTTGCCGCATCTGGAATGAATGAAGGGGATTGAACCGTACAATCCAATAATATGTTAAATTTTGGAAGTAAAAGTGGTCTATGTTATTGAGATATACAATGCATCTGAATATAAATATATCAGATATATATATATATCATTTTATGCTATCTGCAGTATGATTATCTTCAGTTCTCAGAAAAGGCAATTTAAATTATTTTACGTAAATCATTTTTTGGCAATTACTTACCGATTAATCAGTACACCACCAATGCCATACGTAAGTATAGACCCTGCCCCCACCACCATACTCTGGAGGTAAGTTAGAAGACTGGTCTCGATTGGTTGACATGCGGTCTCATCTATCACCACCTGAGCTGGTGCTATTGCTGAGCAGATATTCTCTGTTGTATGTGCCCCTATCATTGCAGCCAGTTGAGGGTACCACAGTCTTATAGTATTCGAGCTGAAATTGTTTTATTCGTAATTTGAAAATTGGCGCTTAACTAATATTTGACAGATTCGTTGACAGTTGAAATTTGTAATCTGTGCTTTAAACATCAAATAGCATAGACAACTAGGTACTTAATATTATGTTTTGGTTTTAAACCCGTGTAAACTTAATATTAAATAGGACGGGTTTTGGTATGGGATGCTTCTTGTGTGGACACGTTAGCTCCGTCTCAACTTCCTCAGACAAGCAAAAAAGCTGGGGCGGTGGTAGAGCAGGCGGAAAATAATAAATGGCTCAAATATAAGAGTCTTTCCTCCAACTTCGATTTTGTTCCCTTTGGAGTAGAGACTCTTGGGCCGTGGGGTTCAAGTGCAGAGGTGCTAATTAAAGATTTAAGTTGGCGCCTGGTAGATAGTACCGGTGACCCCAGAACTGTCGCTTTCTTCGCTCAAAGTGTCAAAAATTTATGTTTGTCTGTCAAAATGGATACATAAACTACTCAACTCTACCATATACATTGTATTTTTTCCATTCGCCCTACTTCAAGAAACGATGACAAAAAATGAAAAGAAACAATGCACTTTTTTGGAGTTTGGCGACCGGATATGTCCTAAAAGGTACACTGCCACAGGGACCAAACTTTAAATATGTTTATTAATTATTAATTGTCAATTAAATTAAAAAATTATTATTACTATGTAGGATAAGAAAATTGTAAATACTGTACATTTGATTGTTAGAATTTAAAAATTAGAATAAAATCTTGAAAACAGATATACTGCTCAAAACAATTAGCGGAACAAGATTTTTCTCCTTTCTATTGCTTAAACAAAAATTAGATTTAAATTAACTTGTACGCTATTTTTTACCTTGTTAATTTGTTAATGACTCCAATTAATAAAAAAATTCAATTTGTAGACGAAAAACAAAGTGACGTCTTTGAATTTTCATTACTTTCTAATCACAGAAAACACATTTTAAGTAGTTTTTTTCAATCTTTTGAGTATTCATAGAAATTGAAGTGAGCCTTTTGAGTATTGTTATTCATTGAAGCGAGTGAGTTTAGGTCATAATGCCAGATCTGACTGAATTGCATGTCTCCCGAGCTATCGCTTTGCTTGAAGAGGGTCGAACTATGCGTTATGTAGGAAATGATCTAGGAGTAGCCCCTTCTGTTATCTACAGACTTTGGAAGCGATACCGTGAGACGGGAGAATACTCACGAAGGCGTGGTCAAGGTCGAAAGAGAAAAACTACACGTTTGCAAGATCGCTACATCGTCAACTGTGCTTTACGTAACCGCACCACAACTGCAAGAGATCTACAAAATACACTAAGGACGGCTACTGGTGTAGAAATTTCCGACCAGACGGTAAGAAATAGGTTGTTGGAAGCCAATTTGAGATCACGCCGACCAGTTCGGGCTGTGCGTCTAACAATTCAACATAGACAAGCTCGCCGACAGTTCGCGCAAAATCACGCTAATTGGCAACTTCGACATTGGAGGCCAGTGCTTTTTACTGACGAATCACGATTCCGTCTAACACGTTGCGATGGTCTTCTCCGTGTTTACAGACGCCCAGGCGAGCGATACAGTGCAGCAGCAGTCCAGGAATATGACAAATTTGGATGTGGCTCTGTGATGGTTTGGGGCGGAGTTAGTTTGGACGAGCGCACAGATCTCGTCGTTGTTCCCGGGCGCTTGTGTGCTCAAACTTACATTGAAAATGTGCTCGAAGATCATGTTTGGCCCGCAGCATATGGTATGGGCCCAGATTTTCTTTTAATGCAAGATAATGCCAGGCCGCATACTGCAGCCATCACGTCAGATTACTTACGACAGCAGGAAATCCGTGTAATGGAGTGGCCTTCCATGAGCCCTGACCTAAATCCAATTGAACACATTTGGGACTTGCTTGACAGGCGCATCCGGAAGCGTCCGATTGCACCTCAAACACTGCAGCAGCTCACTGAAGCGTTGATTTAAGAACGGGAGCGAATTCCACAAGAAGATATTCGGAGGATAATACGAAGCATGCCGCGTCGTTGTCAAGCCGTGATTAGGGCTCATGGAGGCCACACACGTTACTGAAAGTCACTAAAGACGAATATTCAAACGATATAAGAATATTTCTTAGATGGACCTTTTTTATCACCAATTAGTTTTTCGTCTACAATGCGCATTTTAATTTTTTTTTAATAAAAAAAATACAAATTGAGTTTTTTTATTAATTGTAGTAATTAACAAATTAACAAGGTAAAAAATAGCGTACAAGTTAATTTAAATCTAATTTTAGTTTAAGCAATAGAAAGGAGAAAAATCTTGTTCCGCTAATTGTTTTGAGCAGTATATGAATATGTTATTAACTGATAACTATTGGCCATTCTTTACCTAGCAAGTATTTAACGGATTGGATTACCTCTATAGCTAGAAGTAGAGAATCTTAGATTTTTACTTTCAAAGGCGCAAATAATATTAAAGCATGGTACAACAAAGGTATATTCTTACATCAGGCAATATCACATTAGAAAATCACTACTGACCCAAACATGCAACCAATATGCGTGAAGCATATGAGTATCAAGTAAGCGGCGTATGGTGGTTTGAACAGGGGAGCCATCTGCTCTTTACCGGCCTTCAGAGCCGCCAACCCGCGAGCTTGTTGAGAGCTTTTTTCTTCTTCCAATACTTTGACCTGTAACAACAGTTACCGTTGCAAAGGACTAAGAATAATTCAGAAAAAATTAAGTACCTTTATTCGAAAGAGGTTTTTGGTAAAATTTAGTTCGATTTCCCAATGAGATGCTAAATTTTCTGGCATTGTGAGTGTGGTATCTAATATAACTTTACTTACTGGGAATGTATCGGCAGGTTTTCCAGTATTCATCACATATATATTCCTAAAAATCTCCAGGGCTTCATCATTTCGGCCTCTGGACATGAGGAACTTGGGGCTCTCTGGCATAAAGAAGAAAGCCACACCCGAGAGTAGAGGAACTAAAGCGGCAGCCAGTAGAAAGAGATTCCATGCGTGGATAACTGAAATTTAAGTTATTTGTTAAAAAAGTTATGAATTTCATTGATTTTTATATTATTAGAAAATTTTATCTAAAGGTTTAGAATCAAGATTATTTTTCAATTATAAGTAGTAGTATATAGGTCATTTAGTAATTGAAATTACATTAAATAATATTATTATACTTTTTATAATAATCACAATCGTAAAAATTAAAACCGTCAGGATACTTCCATAATTAAAGATTTTTAATAATATATAACTTAATCGATTTTTGATTTTGATAATTTGTCTAGAAATCATTATTTCTTAACTGTTATATTTCACGGGTATTAATTTCACTTATTGCCAAACAGTTCCTGGGCTTTAAAACCCAAGTCCAACAGTCCTTAATGTGTAAAATGTTAATATTATTATATCTAACCAAAAAGATCGCCAAAGGGTCTGAAATGCCAATCCTGTGTGAGTGTAGCCCAAGCTAACAATGGCAGTGTGGCGTTGGCAATAGTGTAGAAGAGGCTAGTGAGAAGAATGACGCGCGCGCGCAGTTCCGAACGATGCATCTCAGCCAAATACGAGATCAAAACTGCGAAAGGCCCATTAAATCTGAAACAAAAATTTAAGGTCGGCTTGAAAATTTTTACGAGGGTGACGCAAGCCAATTGTCAAGGGATTTGAGGGCGAGTAAAAGAAAGTAGGTGTTTTCGAGTTAATAAATAAAATATGTAAATATAGTAACTAATAATAAGGAGTACAGAGGACAGATGGTCTAAAACAGTAAGCGAAAGTGCCAAAAGGAACAAGGGCACACCAATAGAGCTATGGGCCGACGGGATTGCTAGGGTAGCTGAAAAAAAGTTAGAGGAGGCCTTCTCCCGGACAGGGGCCGCATCTTAGAGAAGTAAAATTTTTAATTATGTATATTTTGTTAAATGTAGAATTAGAAGCATTTAATGTATTTCGTTTTTGACGTTCATAAGTGGCGGAGAGTTTATTGCCAGTTCTTCTTTCTCTTTCGTTCTACGAACTTGATTTGAGAACTGGCAGTAAATGTAAAATTAGAAGCATTTCATATGTATTTCTTTTATGACGTTCATAAGTGTACATTTTGTTAACTATATAAATAAATGATTTTGATTTGATTTGATTTCAGTAAGATGTAGATGAATAAAGGTTATTTAATTATTGTTATAAAGGTAAGGAGTGCAAGAAAAATACTAAATCGTTATTAATGAAATTTTGGTTTGGTGTCAAACTAATACAACTACATTGGGGTGTTAATAGATTTTTGACAATTTAAACTGAATATTCAAAGCTTCTTAAAATTAATCATGACAGAAACTTACTATCACATTTACTTAATGTTAAATTTCATTAGTAACGCCCCTATTAAGAAATAATGATATAAACTGCTGCGAACCGTTGAATTTTCTCAGCCTAGTTATCGAGTAATATTATTTACAAGTAAACTTACTTGTACTTGTTAAACCTTTAAATTAGTAATAAATACTAATTAGTAATAAAAAATTAAATTTATTATTGTTATGAAATCATAATAAAGTTTACTAGACTATAATATAAGTATTCTGGTAACGGTTCACCAGCCTTCCATCACAGAAAATATACAAAGAGATGACTAGTATCACTATAATAAAGTAATTTACAAATTTGCTTGAGTGGTGGCAATTTTTAATAATTGGCACTTAAATCTTTACTTACAAGAAACCACTAGCGAATTGCGTAATAAGCAGCATGGTGAAGCTCTGGCTCATCGCAGCAGCTATTTCTACCAGTCCCGAACAGAAGAATCCCCAAACCAGGATCTTACGACGTCCGAGGGTGTCAGAGAGGAAGCCCCACACCAGGGCTGATGAAATCATGCCTGAAATATTATAATTATGTGTAGATACTGTGACCATGACTAAGTTTGTAAAGACAGGAGTTGCAACTCCTCAGAGTATATCAGCTATAACAAAAATAAAATTCAAAATCATTTATTCATTTAGGTAACACAATGTACACTTATGAACGTCAATAAAGAAGTATATATTAAATGCTTCTAATTTTACATTTACTGCCAGTTCTCAAATCAACGTCGTAAAACGGACGAAAAGAACTGGCAATAATCTCTCCGCCACTCTTTTTAATAAAAAAACAAAGATTTGTTCTCTATCAGCAATAGGCTTGGTGAAACAGGAGCACGCACTTACATTCTCGTGGGAACAACACTCAAATACATAGTCGAAATAACTAACATCACCGCGTACACGAATTCAAGTCCGACCAGTCACCACAAGAAGCACCCCTTCACGAATAGGACGCATGGCCAGCCATCGCCAAAGTCTTTGAGACTTTTAAAATATAAAAGGTGGCTAAATTGTGGATTCTCTACTATAGCTGCGAAAAAATAGTTTTCTACTAATCCAAGATATTACGCAAAGAACCTTTGTGCTTACAGGAAACACTTAGCAATATTGTTGTTTTTAATTTAGTTTAGTCACGAGTTATGCCTATTAGTAATCACCTTATCTCATAGCTTTAACAAGGTACGTACAAAATAATTGTTTAACTACGAAAATAGGTAACTAACAATTTGACATTACTTATATATTTGGGTTAAGTAGTTAATCCAAAAAAAAAGTTGATTCGAGGAAACTAACTGTTGTGGTCTCTGGCAGAATGACCAGCGCTGTGGACCTCGTCTGCTCCACAGCATAATGCTGAGCCAGGGCCAGTTACAACCACAACACACATACACACACTTAAACGTACCTTATTCCATAATTTAATTTTTTTTTTAATTCATATTATTATTATTTTGTATAGTAAATGTTATGTCTTTGTCTATGAAACAATTGTTGGGCTATTGACATCTTTTGATTAAACATAGATGCAAAATGTATGATGGGCGTTATCAGATAATATTTGATATTCTATAAAACCGGGATTTGCAACGTGCGGCTCAGACTAGTCATAACTACAGCTAACGTGAGTAATGGCGGTATTTCAGTCTAGAAACAGCGCAGTCGCGGACAACAAATTGCACATTAAGTCGTCTAGGTGGACCTTTCAGATGTGCCTACCGGCGCTGGCGCGTCCTAGTCTACCTTTAAGCGTCCTAGTCACTTAACATTACACATATAACCAACTTATCGATTATTCTTTTAACCGAGAAAAATGATATAAACAAAAATAAGACAAGACACCACCATCCCTTTCGTGGTTACTGGATTTTCAATATACAAATTTAAATTATGTAAAATATTACATTTCAAAGACCAAGCGATGTTTTTAAATCTTATGTTAACCGCAGATCACAATAAATTATAAAAATCTGTGTTAAATCTCTTTAAGTCCCATGACGTTAATTTTGTTGACGAAAATTAATGCGAACAGTCACCACACTAATTCAAGATTATAAATAAAAATAGGAGGTTGATTCAATGGAACTAAAGTTTAAAATTAGTAGAAAATAATTATTATATGAAATAGAGTAGTGTGGCCTAGTGGTTACAGCGTGCGACTTTCATTCCTGAGGTCGTAGGTTCGATCCCCGGCTGTGCACCAATGGATTTTATTTATATGTACGCATTTAACATTGGCTCGAACGGTGAAGGATAACGTCGTAAGAAAACCTTACCATAGCTTGCCTTAGACCCAAAAATATGTTTGTCAGGCACAGAAGGGTGCATCTACTTGCCCATTAGATTGACATAATCATGAACAGATATAGAAATCTGAGGCGCAGACCTAAAACGGTTGTAGCGCCACTGATTTATTATAGTTTTTTATAAAATAAATATTATTTGTTCACATTACAACACTTAAAAAATATATTTTTTGAAGTGGAACTTCTTTAGGCGCATGAGGGTAAAATTTTTCGGAACGTCACGAAGGTGAGCAGCGTTTTTGTCGAAGAAAAGGGATAGAGCGACTGAGACCGATTGAGAGAGAGTGAGAAGGGTGACCTTATAGAAATAATATTTCTAAAATTAAATTTCGTAAAGAGAATTTATGAAATATTAGTATTTTATATTTTATAAAAAATAATTTATAGAAATCTCTAGTGACGAATTGTAAATTAAAATGCCACGTGTTTTAATTATCGAAGAAATAAATTAAAAAAAAAATTATTGTTTGTATTAATAATTGTCGACACTTAATATTTTAATGACAATTAAATTCATTAAATTCCTAATACATCTTCCTTTTTCCCTGCCTCTAAGTCTCGGAAATCTAAAGTATTAAATTTGTATAAATATGAACAAGAGTTAAAAATTAGTTTGCCAAAGAAGTTTCACTTCTGACATGTGTACTTTGTACGCACGCACTTTTTTACATTAACTACCAGTTCTAAAATCATAAACTCTTGATTTTACGGACGGGACGGACAGAAACTATATCACCCTGTTTTTGTTTTAAAATATTCAAGGCCAAACGTATAGATGATTAAAACAAGACAAAAAGAGAGAGATGTGTAAGATCCGTAGTTCTAGTTTGTGTAGGCTTAAAAAAAACAAATCAAAATGTAGCACAAACCGTTAAATACGTAGATATTAAACTTACCGCCATAAGTGATACTATTAAGTGTTCCCATATCGAGTAGCTTCAGCCCAATATCACATTGGGCTCGTGTAAAGATGTAAGAAGTGGCGCTGGTGACGGAGACAGCGCTCCAGAAGGCGGGCAAGGTGCACAGCATGAGCCACACATTGTGCCAACCGTACTGCGTCGCTGCTATCGCTTCTTCGAAATCTGATGCTGGCTCTGAAAAAGATCTTAAGTGAGATTAACTGCTTTTTGGTTGCGTGTAACTCAGCTAACATTATAATCATTTGGGGAATCCGGATGAGACTTTTTTGGAAGAGATTTTTTTGTAGTCAATCATTTACTCAATTCTTCAGGACATATTATTTATTGTTGTATTTTTTTTATAGTATTAAGGGCAACTGGCAGGAGTCTCACCTAATCTTAACTGAAACACTCTCAATGCCTGGGCTCGCAAGTGCGTTGCCTGCCTTTTAAGAGTTGGTACGCACTTTTCTTAAAGGATTTTAAGTCGAATTGGGTCGGAAATACTTCAGTGGGCAGCTGGTTCCACATAGTGGTGGTGCGCGGCAATAACTACCATAAAAAAAGTCGAGGTGATACGGGTTGAATTTCGTATTCTACCTCTACGTACTATGATGAAACTCAGCTGCAGGTATTAATCCGAACAACTCCTCTGAACACTGTCCATGGTAAATGCGGTAGAAGATGCAGAGAGACCCCACATCTCTACGCAATGTCAAAGAATCAAGCCGCTCGGAAAAGGATTAGTCGTTGACGATTCGAATCGCTTTTCGTTGAATACGGTCAAGTGGAAGGAGCTGGTACTGGGGAGCTCCCGCCCAGAGGTGAGAACAGTACTCCATGTGGGGCCGAATTTGCGTTTTATACAGTTGCAAGCGGTTGCCCGGAGTGAAGTTAATATATCAAGTACTTATAAATCGAAGTTCACTGTATACTATACATCCTGGATGGTCATCTACGTTAAACTTTAACGATTACTTTATGCGAAAACTGATGTAATTAACTTCAAAACAGTTAATTACATAATAATCAGCATAATATTCAGTTTAAACTTAGAGTTGGTCACTTTAAGGTAATGAACTTGTAATCTAACCTATATATTGACAATACTTGAATAAGTATTGCGTTATATATTAAATAGTGTTTATAAGCGTACGGTGTCGATCTGAACCACCGCCGCTATTCTCGAAATGAAACTCGGAGTGGAGTTATAATTGTTACCGTTTATTGGTCGAACGTTAGTGATGGTGACACAAAATAATACAGCGAAGCGTGCTTACAACTAACGTCCGTCCGGCACGGCTGCGTAAATCTATCTAATCGTTATACAAATAATAGCTTAAAACTAAACCTAAAACTACCACGCTGGTCAAAGGGACCGACCGGCCCTTCCGCTACCTGCGTCCCGCCGACCGTTTCCTAGAAGAACATCTGGCTGGCAGCTTCATTCGTCGGCTTTCTAAACTGTATTGTTCGTTGTCCGTAACAGTCTCCCCTCAGCGAAACCTTCCTATGACGTGAAGCTTTCCGTAGGTAGGACAACGAAATTTCATCTGCTAATGCTTGCGCCGTCTTCCACGTTCTTTTGGTAATGTGCTTCAACGCAACTATCTCAATATTATTTACATCTCTAGTACTTAGGCACGTAAAAATCGCGCCCCATGGCTTTTTATTAAGGCCTCCTTTTCTAAGCGTATGACACCCATCTAAAAGAATGTGACTCCTTGTCACCTCTGTTATCGATATTCTTAAACGCACACGTACACGCAGTAACCGATTGCTTACGCTTAATCGGCAACTATGATCTTTAAGCTTCCGTATAAATAGTTGTACGTAAACTGTGGCTCTAACCCTGGTTGAAACCCGACGCCATTGCCTAGCATCCGTCGTTTTGGTTATTTCAGTTAATTTATGTGCAACGAATGGTGGATGCCTCGTTTTCTCATTTCTGATCCATTGTAATACCGTTGTTGAATCCGTCCATAGCACGATCTTGATTGGTTCAATTCTGTGTTCTCTAATCGCCACAGATAATCTCGCTCCGATAACAGCTGCCTGTAGCTCTTGCCGCTGTTTACTCTGTGACTTAATAGGTGCCACTGGTGCTTTCGCTGTGATGAACCTGTCGTCAATTACATCGGTTTTAATTCGCCAATATGCCACGCTCGCATGTGCTTGTTCAGATGCGTCACAGAACACATGCAATTGTATCTCTCCTCCCCTCGTGTAAATATGCCATCTAGGTACCACTAAAGACAGTGTTTGTACATTTTCTAACTGAGACACCGACTTTTTAAACTCATACGACTGATCCATTTTCCGTTCAATGCTTTTAAGCCGATTAAATGCCATATTATAGCTTTCTGGGAATTTCGTGTTATCAGTCTTCCACGGCAACCCCAGGTAGTAACGCCTTTCCTGTTTCTCTATTGTTGTATTGAACAATTGAACTGCACGTGCGTCGGCACTTGTTAACCTTTTTTTATTATTTATACCCAAGGCATCTATTGCAAAACTTTGTTTTAATATCGCCTCTAGACGCTCATCTATTGTTTCTTTGTAAACGTCGCTTTCTGCCGCCTTTTTTATGCAGTGCAAAACACGTTCGTTGTCTTCCATTAAACTTCGTATAGGTGCTGTACCATGTAAAATCCAGCCTAATCGGGTTAAAGATGCAGCCGGTTCATTTTTCTTGCCACTGTATACTTTTCTGGAAACGATTAGATGCCAATTGTCTGCTCCAATTAACAATTGTGGTTTAGCTTCGCCAATCATTTGTTGGAGTGGTAACTTAACCAAATGTTTGTAGCGCAAATTATCCGCGCTAATTCTTTGGCTACCAATATCGAAATCACGCATCGTTCGCGCTTTCAAAGTGTAATTAGCCCCTCCGTCGTAGCGACTGATGTCAATTTTGACGTGTTGGCTCTCAAAATCTTTCGTTTGAGAACTAACTCCTTGAATTTTCAGCGGCTTGCTTGGCCCGCTCACACCTAATTCGTGGGCTAACTTTTCCGCGATAATTGTAATAGTCGAACCTTCGTCCAGTAGGGCATGAGTTTTTACGATCTTTCCATTTCGGCCTCTCACAGTTACGGGACATACTTTAAGTAGGACGGCTTGACATTCATCCTTTGCAGTCATAGAGGTCGACATAACAACTTCAGCCTCTGAGTTAGATGTTGATGGTTGCACCAACAATGGTTGTTGTTGTGGCTTGTGTACTACCCAATGCAACAACCTATGGTGCGCTTTTTCACACCCATCAATACCACATCGCTTTTTCCTGCACTGTGATCGTCGGTGATATTCTTCTAGGCACAAAAAACATGCCTTCGTTTCTCTCAATCTATCCCATCGTTGATTAAGATTCATTTTCAAAAACTCTTCACAATGAGTTGCATGATGGTTGCCGTTACAGCATAGGCATCTGAGTTTCTTCTGTGTTGAGTAAACGCGCTCATTCGTTTTTGATCTAGGTTTACTTGTACCTAGCGATGTCGCTGTTTCTATTTTACGGCTATAGTTGAAAGTGAGTTGTAAGCTCGCTTCTTCTAAGAGGTATTTTGAGAGCGTAATGAGAATTGGTTCTTTCTCATTACTATTAGCCTTACCGTAGTCCGTCCATCTAGCCTGATAGTGCAGGTTAAGTTTAGACACTATTTCTCGGACTAAGGCCCCGTTACTCGTGTAGCTACGATCGTTTACACTTTTCAATAGCCACGCGATGTTTTGCACTTTTATTGCAAACTGGTTAAATTCAACCGCTGTATATCCCGGTCTGGGTAATCGCTTTATTTCTTCCAGCGCTTTATCAATTATGATCTCCGGTCGGCCATAACACTGATCTAGTGCATTCATAATAAGCTCGGGATCGCAAGCAGTACTCAATAATACGGCGACTGTTTCTTTAGCGGCTCCCGTAAGACATGTGCGTAATCTTGCCATGTTTTCCGCTTTAGAGTATTTGTAGAGCTTCGTGGAGTCTTCATAAGCAACTTTAAAGTAAAGCCAGTCGCAGACGTTCCCGTTAAACTGCGGCAGATCTTGAGCATGTCGTACAGGGGGTCTGTTTGTAGCTATTTTTTCAAAGGCTCCGATGAGCCGTTCCATCCCTTGATCATGGGATCGCGTTCTCGGCACGGAGGCCTCTTCGATAGGTGATATGGGCCGTTCTTTTTCCCAAGACACATTGTGTTTGAATGGCTCCACGCGTTCTGGGAGCGCTGTGTCTTCTTCCCTATCACCTTGAGATAGATTATTAACGCCGCTATGACTTCTTAGCCATCTATCTACCATAGCAGCGGAGTTGTTTCCGTTCCGCTGTTCTGGCATGCATTCGACGATACTCTCTTCGTCGTCTGCTCTGGGTAAGTCAACAGCGATTCGCTTCTTTAACAATTTCATTTCAAGCTCCATCTCTTGTTCCATCTCCTGCTTCTTTAATTCGAACTTTTTTCTTAAATGTTCTTTTTCTAATGCGACCAAGCGTTTTTGGACTTCGTATTCAGCTTGCCTTACACGGGATGCTTTCGACCTCATTGTATTTCTTGAGGTCTGTGATGCTGAACCCACAGGTAACAACGTTGAATCAACGGCTTCATTCCTCCGTATTGATTCAACTGACTCCCTGTCGTGTGTAATATCGGCTAGTCTTCGTTGTAGTACTTTCGATGGTGATTCTAACGGCATGTATTCTGTCCGTACATCTTCATCGATTTCTTCTGCCCTCTTAGCTTGGCTTCTTGTGTTCATTTTGAAGTCGATTGTATTCTTCGCTTCCATGAACTGGTGGATAATGCTTTCCTTCAGTGACCCACAGCAGCAATACGTCGATACGGCGAGTCACTTTGTACAGGCTATGAAGTCAACCCTCTGCACGTACTCCTGGGATCGCAGGTAGTACTGCCGATGAAAATCTTCCTGGGATCGCAGGTAAAATCTTCCTTCTTCTCGGCGTCAATGCGTAGAGTAATATTCTTCTGGTTATCCGGCTTCTCGAAGGACCAAACTATAAGCGTACGGTGTCGATCTGAACCACCGCCGCTATTCTCGAAATGAAACTCGGAGTGGAGTTATAATTGTTACCGTTTATTGGTCGAACGTTAGTGATGGTGACACAAAATAATACAGCGAAGCGTGCTTACAACTAACGTCCGTCCGGCACGGCTGCGTAAATCTATCTAATCGTTATACAAATAATAGCTTAAAACTAAACCTAAAACTACCACGCTGGTCAAAGGGACCGACCGGCCCTTCCGCTACCTGCGTCCCGCCGACCGTTTCCTAGAAGAACATCTGGCTGGCAGCTTCGTTCGTCGGCTTTCTAAACTGTATTGTTCGTTGTCCGTAACAGTGTTTTTAATCTGACAGGAGGACAAACACGAAATAATATAAGCGCACAGTCAACATATGAGATGTACGAGTATATTCACTAAAACAACGTGATGAAGTAAATGTGTCATTTACGAACTAAAGTCAATATTTGTACTGCTATTTTAGACGCAATACCCATACTTCATATAAATTATTTCCTACGCAATTACGAAATAATGTTGTAATCTTTACGTCATGATGGAACTTTTCATATGTTTTAGTATAGGACAGTCAATAACAAATAAAATGCTCTGAGCATAATAACGAATCGTTTACGACCACTGGAGAAACGTTACACACTATTCTTGATTCTATATTTATATATATTTCCTTTGTAATATTACGAAATTGATACATTAAAATATTTGTTTTTAAACACACAAATTTTTCATATAACTACATAATATGTAATAATAATAATTAAAATTTGATAAATATGTAGATATATAATTAGAAACATATTTAAACATACAAAACACACAAATATACAGTATACGTACAATATCCTAACCTACATAGTAACAATAATAAATAAAATAATTAAAATTAACATAAATAAAAATGAAAACTAATTTTAAAAGTTCCCTGTGGCAGTGTTTAAAGCTGGCAGCATTTCCTCACTGTATTGCGATACTTATTCGATGGGTGAATCTTTACTTGTATCATTTGATTAAGGTATATCTTCTTAATTCGGCGGTCAAGGCCAGGTAGCTTTTATTCTACTACTTATCGACACACCAACAATCTCCCTATTCACATTACAAAACACACTAGCTATTCTAAGATCAGTTTAATACAAGGTAAAGAGTACTGTTTATTTATTATACCATTGACAGTTATTTCAACTTGATATTTCTGTTACATTCTAATTGTATTATATAATTCCTTGAATGATTTAAATTTATAAAGTAACAGGCAGCCGAATAAAATCAAACGAGCATCGGTGGAGCGTCAATTGGTTTTAACCATAATCTACATTATGCAACTCATCCCTGAGGTCGTAGGTTAGATCCCCAGCTGTGCACCAATGGACTATTTTTCTATATGCGTAAAATTCGCTTGAACGGTGAAGGAAAACATCGTGAGGAAACCGGCTTGCCTTAGACCCAAACAGTCGACGGCGTGAGTCAGGCACAGGAAGCTGATCACCCACTTGTCTATAAGATTGACAAATGATCACGAAAGAGATACAGAAATCTGAGGCTAAGACCTAAAAAGGTAGCGTGACTGATTTATTTATTTTTAATTCTAATTTTCACCACTAAAATTAGGTACACTATGACTAATAAGGATCTGATAAGATTTGGCGATTTTCCAGTTGAAATAGACCGCAAAGAGACGCAGTTTCATGAAGTGCCATTGGCTGAAGAGATCGTAAAAATGTAATAAGTCTGGGAATGTCGCGTATGACGCGCAAACGGACTCTATAGACACAGATTTAAAACTGTTTTATAGTATTCTTACTAGGCGATAAAAGAAAATAATATTATATTACATTGACTTCAGAGATAATCGAATTTATTTGTAAGTATAAAATTATACACGAAAATATGACATCACAAATACACATATACCACATCACATTATATTTGAATATAAGCAAGCTAGCAAGGGAAATTTTTTAACAAGCAACCACAAATTAGAAAACACAAAGTAAAAAAATAACTACAAAAAATAATAACTATAAATAAATCAAAAACTTAAACCTCATTAAGAGCATGGTAAACAAAGTTACGGTTAGTTTTGAGATTGTTTTAAAATATATCAAAATCATTTTAGTTATATGCACGCTGGTTTTTGACGTTTCATCGACATAATGACGTTGCTATGACAACGAACGTACACAATTAAGTATTAGATGATCTAAGGAAGGAGTTACGTTGGTGCAGTCCTAACACGTACTTTAATGAACTGAATATATTATGTGCTATATTTTGGCTGTGAGTGATTTTAATTTCTACGCATGCGCAAACCTTAATTACCCTTACTAAACTCAGTAATGCGCACAATGACAAAGAACAATTACGCAGTAGACCTACCTTTTGCCAGCTTCTCCAGATTAGTCGAAGAAAGTCCCGTTACTTTGAATAGGTGGTCATGAGGAATCTCCTCCTTCGACCTTCCCGCCTCCACGTCTGTTTTGGTCATGTTTACTGGTTTGTCCGTATGTCCATCCCCACGGCCGTACAGGCCGATGCCCGTACAGTAGCTATGCGCTGTGTAGTCATACCGTCATATTATATACTTAAAACGAAGATTTTATCTCCAAAGTTTGCTCTGGGTTTTAAATGTTTACCCACCAAGCAGTATTGTACTCAACATTGGTTATAGAGTGCGGTAGACTGTTCATGGATTTGTTGAAACAGCTGAAGATAACATAATACTATGGATGGGGGAGATTAAGAAATGCTTGAAGTCAAACAGATATAACTTTCAAATACTTCTGAATGCGATTATGTATTTATTCATTAGTAATCTTACAGCTTACATACATATTATAAAACAAAACAGTTATACAATATATAAAGCCAAAACAGATTACATAGATAAACAATATATATGAAACAGAAAACATAGGTCCATTAATATACAAGAAGAAACTGAAATTGAACATTAAACAAACGACAACTAATACTTTTTTAATGAACTTTTATTTATTTAGTTATAAAAGCTGCACACCAATACTCGTAAAGTACAATATTCAGTGTGACAAGCACTTATGGGCGAAAATAAATGCAAGAGATATTTTTTTTTAACTACATGAAAGTGGATTTCAAAGTGTAAAAGCAAAGTCTATGTCTATACAGACCTAGCTCGTTTATCATAATGCTCAATCTGGGATATCAGTGAGTTTGAACCAAAATGCGTTCTTCTGAAACGATCCATATCACCAATTCGTCCGTCGTTCCACAACTGAGTTTTCCTTAGGGCAATTTTTTGCCGTGCACCACCACTATGTAGAACCAGCTGCCCACTGAAGTATTTCCGAACCAATTCAACTGAGGGTCCTTCGCGATTGCGAGCCTTCTGGCAGTGTGAGTGTCTATGGGCCGCGACATCACAACATCAGATGAGCCCCCGTTTGCCTCCTGTATCATAAAAAAAGGAAGGACAAACTTTGGGAGGAAACCGTCTTATACTAAAGATCGATTACGTGGTACAGTTCTTTATTAAAATAAGTGTTAGCCGCTCTACGCGCTCTATACTGTATACTCAGTATTCAGTATTCCTCCAGGCACTATCTTTAGTAAACAATTCACAATCAATATTGAACAGCTATTGTTTTATAACTTCAGGTATATTTGGAAGATGTCAAGCCTTTTAAATGTTCATTTATATTCCTTTTATTGGGAATGAGAGTGTGTGTCGTAGTATGAATTTATTGACCACGTGCGAACAAAATACAAGTCGATAACAGATATTTATACAAAAAACTACGAATAAATTTAAGATATTGAAACCGAGAGTATTGGCTGAAGATGGACAAAAATATGAGTTATGAAAGTAGATATCAGCCATATTAATTTCTTACTACAAACCAAAATCATTCAGAGTAATCTAAGCATGTGATGCTTGAATTAAAAACAATAAATATGTATTGATCCTTGAATATAATTTCAATTGTTGACTCTAAATAAGAACACAATACAATATAAATTTCTCTATACAAAGCAACTTTTGCCTAATTTCGTGTTTATTCAATCAAGGCGAGTATTATGTAGTCAAAAGTTTATTCTATCACAGTACATTGGTTTAGCCGAGAATTGTTACTAGCGATTTTAAATATTGTATATTTAAATAAGAAGCGTTACTTCATTTTTGTTCCGCGAACGCTGTTTCGTCCGTCATTTCTCTTCACATCGTCACTTGTCACTAGAGCAGGCGAAGGGTACGAGCGGCTGAAATCTTCAACACTGTAAAGGATACTTCCCATATATAGGTCTATCAGGTGTCAGAACAGACAAAAAAGAGTGAGTTTTAACGTTGTAATAATTTTTAACTATAATACAGGATTCGTGAAGAAGACCAGTTCTATTATTAGTTTTAAACAAAGTCGCATGCCCATAATAGTGAAATGAAATAAATAAATAATACAAAGATGTTATGTAAACACTTAATACTTATTTATTTACATTAATCGCTATTATTATAACTATTATTTACATAATTTATTTGCGTATCACATAAAATTAAATAGAATTGAAAAAGTAAATATCATTCTGGGGAAACAGCAGCTTACTATGTTACATTGTGATATGATTCCTGCTTCAAGATAAGATTTAGTACAACACAATCCTAGAACAGCGCTACAAAATTAAAAGAAATTCATTGGATTTCGTTATATGACGCTATAAGGATTATTACTAAGCTAAAGTGATAAAATCAGCTTCAGTGTGCGACTCTCATCCTTGAGGTCGTAGGTTCAATCCCCGGCTGTGTACCAATAGACTTTCTTTCTATGTGCGCACTTAATTCGCTCGAACAGTGAAGGAAAACATCTTAAGGAAACCTGCATGCCTCAGACCCAAAAATTCGGTGTGTGTCAGATGGTTGATCAATACCATCCGTATCACCTCGACGTCCGTCGTTCCACAACTGAGCGTTTTTTAAAACAGTTTTTGCTACCACTAACCAACGAAAACGTGGAACGTAGAACCAACTGCCCACTGAAGTATTTCCAAACCAATTCGACTTATGGTCCTTCAAGAAGAGCGAACCAATTCTTAAGGCTGGCAACCACTCGAGCCTTCTAGCAATGTACCCATGCTCGGCGGTATAACTTAACAAAGGTTAGCCTTCTGCCCAGTGTACAAGAAGAAACTAACCAAAGTTAACTGCACACAATTGTTAGCAGTTAGTTTGCAAAAGTAGCTTGACCGTCACTTGTACAGATAAGAGAACATTCACCCACGTACTTACGTCCGACGCCCCCAATTACACTAATTAATTAAAATTTGTTGATTTTTATTGGTTTTAAATTTGTTCAAAAGGTTTTTAAATGATATAAGGGTCAATAAGTTAAATAATTTAATCTACAAAAGTTTATTGTTAAATTTTTGTTTTATATAAGTTGTTTTTATTCATTTAAAGATTCTAAAACCAGACCATTTTAATTGTCCGTTGACTGAAATGATCTGCTTCATGTCAGTTCCTTTACTCTAGAAATAGTCTTCTTGTAAATATATCTTACTGTTTAATTGTGTTGTTTTTTTCTGTGTACGTATTCTTTTGTTTGTGATGTAAATGTTACAGCATTGGAGTAATCTGTAATGGTAGCTTATATTGTTAAATAAATAAACCTTGTGTTGGAATTCTTTAATTTTATTGATATGTTTATGTTGAGCAGTGTTCGCCTAGTGGCTTTAGCGTGCGATTTTCATCCATGAGGTCGTAGGTTCGATCCCCGGCTGTGCACCAATGGACTTTCTATCTGTGCGCATATAACATTCGCTCGTACGTTGGACGAAAACATCGTGAGGAAACCAGCTTGCCTTGACCCAAAAAGTTGATGGCGTATGTCAGGAGGCTGATCACCTTCTTGCTTATTAGATTGACGAATGATCATCAAACAGATACAAACATCAAACTTCTCACTGGTTTTTACTAAAAGTTAAAGAATCGAAAATGCAGTTTTCTTTGCTTAAAACTAATTTCGTTTTAATAAGTTATATGTTACGTTTCAATAAAGCAGAACAAACTTCTTGGAATTTAATAATATTTAAGTGTCCACATAGACTTCCAAGCATGTGTACAAAATTTCGTATGTTATCCTCAAATTTCTCGGAAACCAAAAGTTGTATGATGAATTTTTTCAAAACATCACATAATCAACAACCATTGCAAGTCGGTCAAAAAGGAATCCAACCAATTGAAATCAAAAGTCATAAATGAAATAGGCAATAGTGCTAATTGAACAACACTTAATATAAATTGTTTTCACAAATTATCTTTCGGCTGATTCAGACCTCTTGACTCAAGTACGCTTTAGTTGATACGTTAAAATAACCGATTATAGAGAGAGAAATACCTTATTGTTGTAAATTTAATTAAATTTTTCTTAAGTTTTTTTAACATTTATTAAGCATATGCTTAAACTACTAAGCTAGTGAATAAATTAAAATTCTATGTAAAATCCAATAAAATAATTCCAAACCTGCTAGAGAACATCGTTTAATACGTCAATATTTTTTTTGTGAAAAATATTTTTTACGTAACTAATGAAGCCACAAGAAAGCGATAATCTCAGAACCTACAGTGATAAGCCAGCTTAGTGTTTAATTAATTTTTAAAATATGTGTGTATCAGAAGGCACACACATCTACCTGCCTTAAAGAAATCATTTCAGTCTTTCAATTCAGTTTTTAAAAGCTCAAAAGTATATATTTGTTATGTTTGTGACGTATTCTATTCGAACGATGCATGGTATTTAGTTTTTAATAACGACCTTGGAACACTTCTTACACACAAATATCGATCTTATTACGATAGCTAGTGTTCTGAATATGGGCGGCCTGGGATCTAAACTAAGTATATAAAGGTTCGGTATCCGCAATTGTTTGTAGATTCTGGATGTATGTAAAAAGTACTCTCTGTATTTATAAAACAATTAAATATAAATCAGTGGCGCTACAACCTTTTTTAGGTCAGATTTCTGTATCTGTTTCTTGATCATTTGTCAATCTAATAGACAAGTAGGTGATCAGCCTCCTGTGCCTGACACACGGCGACTCTTTATGTCTAAGGCAAGCCAGTTTCCTCGCGATGTTTTCCTTCACCGTTCGCGCGAATGTTAAATGCGCACATAGAAAGATAATCCATTGTTTTACAGCTGGGGATCGAACCTACGGCCTCACGGATGAGTCTCTAGGCCAACCCTGCTTTCTATTTATAAACAAATATAAATAGAAATTTCTCCGTTTAGATCAGTTGGACTTTGTCCATGATGTATTGGAGCAAAGTTCGTGCTAGGGTTGGCACCAATTCACATAATTTCTTTCGTAAACATATTCTGTAAACAACATCAATATTGTCTTATAATCATAAAACAATATTGATTTCCCATAATAGTGGACACTCACTCAAAACAATCGTATAAAGTGATTGTCCAATATTATGGGCAGAAAGATTTCTGTATTTATTTAAGAGAT